TCTCATTAAAAGATTTTAAAATAGCTTAAAAAACAAATCATTTAGTACATTAAAGTGTCTTTTTTATGGTTAATAGTTACGGAAAACATTAAACAAACAATTTTAAATTTAAAATTCGTATTTTAATTTATGGAGATTAAGTACAGGGTTATTACAAATGATGTTCATGATTTCATACATACATAAAATATAGTTTTATTTGTTATGCAAATAATTAAAATGGTTACAATTTTTGAAAAACTCAAAAAGTTTCAACACAGACACACAGAACTGTAAATGCTTGATACGGGAACCCTTGTGGTACGACAGATGTCAATAATGTAGTCAAGCTCTTGCTAGACCTTGAAAAGTGTGTCCAGGTCTATTGTTTCGATAGCATTGGTAATCCGTTGCTGGATCTCAAGTATGCTATCTGATAATGGTGATGTGTACGCCTTATCTTTGATGTATCCCCACAAGAAAAAAATCAGGGGGTGATGTCCGGAGATCTTGTCTTGCAGTTCAGGGGTGTGTCATTATTCGGACCACCGAGCTCGTTTCATATCTCAGGCAGCACATTGTTAAGTTCAGCCCTACTACAAGTAACATTCAAATGCAGCCATTTCTCTTAAATTTCAAGTATCACTTGCCAATATAGTGGTTACTAGGGGGATCATCGTTAAACCTGGTTCTAAAGTGTCGTTGCACACTAATAACAGATTGGTTAATGTAATATTCCAACTGGCAAAAAGCTGTCCTGCCTTCAAATTCAGCCATTACACAACACTTACAACAATTGACTTGACAAACAGCTGATATGCACCCAAACCAATGTAAATGAAACTTTGTGAGTTTTTCTTTCCAATGGTACCAACTAAAATAGTCTTGAAACAAATTGACCCAGTAATATTTATAATCAAAATCAGGAACATCATTTGTAATAACCCTGTAAATTGTAGTTTGATTGTTTATTGATATATTTTGATAAAACTTGGCAAATTTATTTATTTTATACTAAGCGTTTAATATAATGCTAAAAACATATTTTATTGCCTTCCCTGTAGCAGCAAACCTAGGTACTTGTTAAGCCTAATCCATACATTAATCCAAAAGTACCCATGGACTTTTGAGAAAACTACAAGTCACACCCACATAAACCATACTTAATATGTTCGTCATGACGAGAAACCTTGCGCAAAACTATCCATTATTTCATAAATTGCCCTTTAAGGTCGTAATCTTACTAATATTATGAAGGTCGTAATCTTACTAATAGCACTATTATTTTTTTGCATTTATGAAAACCGCTTATATGAAGTAAGCAGACAAAAATGAGAACTGTCAAAGTATGATTGTTTACAGTTGTTTATGTTTTTAATTTCATGAATAATTTGTGATATTTTGCGAATTTTGTATAATTAATTTTTCTCTATTGTTTAGGTGAGGTGGTAGACCATTATGGCTATGGTAGATGTGTAAGACTTTAGTATAGGTACCGTTTCCTCCCCCATTGAAAACGCAAAGCTTGAGTATAAAAATGGTATAATATAAATGCAATAAGCATTTTATGCAAATCCCGTACGAAGGACGGGTACTCTGCTAGTATTTTATATAAATGTATTCATAAATAAATAATCATGTTTACGAAAATGGTGAACGAGTATTGTATCTTGTAAAAAAATAAAGTACAATTTTAAGAATAATGCTTTACACGGATGATAAGAAAATGTTCTGAGTCTATCTATGTAAACTGCGTAGAAGTAGAAGTAAACTTGTTGGTAGGCTTCTACGATCAAAGTAAACTTGATCAGAGGTCAGAGAGTGACCGCGTCGTTGACAAAGCTATTCAGCGGGACTTTCGTTCAGTTGCACCAATCCATCTCGTGGCAAACTGCAACAATCCAACTATGCAGAACTAGTCCTTCTACTCTGTGGTTTTACGAATGATCTACCATGATTACTGTATTAAAGATAAGAACGGCTAAGTCAGGAAAATTCCGCCGTCTTGTTACCAGTTGCGTGAACGAGTTTACTTTCTCTGAAAGTGGTTTTGTTGCTCGCGGTAAAGTAAAAATGTTTATGAAGAAAGTTCACAAATAATAGCTCTAGATGTGAGTGGTTAGATTGTTAAGTTATAGTAGTGAAATCGAAGAATAATATGTACAGGGGAACTATTAAGCCTTCGCAGATAGAGGATGGGTGTGTTTTCATCAGTTAAAAAAACCCCGCAACCAATTTAGGTATCCTGGCTTTTTTGGGGTGTAGGTTAAGTTGCGACAATTTGACCTGCACTAATAGTCTGGGTCTCTTAAGTTGGACCATGTTGAGGATTTTATATAATACTAGCTGTAACCCGCGGGCTTTGCCCCGTTTAACTTCTTAATTTTCAAGATTATCTCGTTCGCATGGCTCAATCACGTCCTGGTTGAAGTTTGTTCGCTACGCTCACTCACCTTTAGGTTGGAGCTCGTTCGCTACGCTCACTCACCTTTAGGTTGGAGCTCGTTCGCTGCGCTCACTTGCCTTCAGGTTAGCTCGTTCGCTACGCTAACTCGCCTCCAGGTTGAAGTTCGTTCGCTACGCTCACTCACCTTTTGGTTGCAAATTAGCTGTTGTCATAAATGTAAAAGAAATAATAGTGCTGCACCCTGTTGGTAATCCTTGTAACTTTAATGCTATTGAACATCATAGAACAGAACCAACTTGTTTAATTGAAACAGCTGTTAAGATTCAATAATTCCATTTCTCATAAGGTTAACATGGGAAACTCCAGAGCCACTGGGGCGGAGCCCGAAAGGATTTTTGAAATAAGAATATGCCTATATGTTAATCGGGAATGTGAGCTATCATCATGCCAAATTTCAGCCCAATCCGACCAGTATTTTTCGAGTTTACTTTTCCCATACACACATACACACATACAGCAACCACCTCGCTGATACCGTTTATTTATAATAGTAGATTGATTTGCTTGTGCTTTATAATCAAATATCTTTTTAATGTATCTTTTAATATCAGCTGCTTGTGATTATTATGTTGTTCTAATATGTTCACAGTTTGAAGTGTTCATGTTTTAATATTTGTCCTTTTTACATCAATTATTAATCAAGTATTTTATGTATTTTATTCCCTCGTTTCATCAGACCATAATACAGTACAGTTGTTCGATTGCACCAATACGGCTAAAGTGGATATTGTAAAGCGCATTGTGGCGTATAAAGCCTGTAAACCGAAATAATCTTTTCAAAGATGGATCTTCTGCAACCCATAAGGCCCATGTTAACTTTTTAATTTTTAAATTTTAAATTAATTTTTTGTGCTTATTCTTTAGCCTTTTTAATTAATTAATGGGTTCTGCACATCTACAGACATATATCTTTCTTAGAGTATGTGTAGATTTTCCCTGCGATGCACTCGAGCTGAGAAAAAAGGTTTTCAATAATCAATGTGTGCATATTAATATATAGATAGCAAACATTTTATCATTTATATCACGTACCCATGATCTTTTGAGAAAACTACAAGTCAAACCCCCATAAACCATACACTTAAAATGTTTGTCATGACGAGAACCCTTGCGCAAAACTATCCATTATTTCAGAAATTGCCCTTTAAGGTCGTAATTCCTTTCTAAAGGGAACTTTCCATATACCTAATGTTAAAAATACCTCAGCTGTACTTATTTGTTTGTATTACTGTATTCTGTTTTGTTTATTTCAGCCTAACTTAACCAATCAATGGTTTTGTTAATACTAATGAATTTAAACGGGGTGAAGCCCGTGGATAACAGCTTGAATAAATGTTTTTTGTTCATTTCTGTTGACGCAGTGAATCGCTCGATTTGTTTATGAATAACAACTTAAGAACACTTCTTTCCACCCACCCCAACATAAAATAGTTAGAATATGACTAGCCCGAATGCCACTTCTATTTTGACTATCAATTAAAGCGTCTTGATGGTACAAGCATGCTTTATAAAAATCTATTAAGATAAATGATGAAAAAGTTTTTAAATATTCACATATGATCAACTCAGCAAACATCGGTTTACTTTGATACACCGCGGCGCTCTACCAGAATAAAATTGCAATATTGGTTATCAAATATCAAATTTCGTAATTAAATACTCATAATTAGGAAGTACCATTACGTGATACCCCCTCCAGAGCTTTTGTTAACCAGTGAACACATTGTACCGTGACGGTTTGCTCGCTATTTGCCACTACAGTAGGACAGTAGTGTCTTGATCGGCGACGGAGCGCACGCGGCCGTGGCGACGTAATCTAGTCGGCCGTTGCATTGTTGCCGTAATCAAGTTTTCATTGTGGAACTGTTTGTCATACTGTACTACTAGTTGCATATGTGGTTGTTTACTTGAACATATTTTAATTTGTTCGTGTTACAAGTAGTAAACATTGTAAATAGATTTTATATAACAGAGTGCTGTAAAACAATAAATCTATAGATTTTGTACTTCACCAACTAATTAGGTTACGAATCCACGTTTCAAAAGATCGTTCATTAATACTTTGGCCATGCACATTATAGAGTTATAAGTTACTTAATGCGTAAGGTTGACAAAATCGCAACTGGCCCACAGTTTATAGTGATTGCTAAAATAATCTCTCAAATAATATAATAGGCTACACGTAAATTAGATCAGTTTTATGAAACAGAAAAAAATTAAATTTTTTTATCATCTCAAAGACTTTACATGTATGATCAAAATCTTGACTCTTTGGAAATCGCAATCTACCAGAAGATGTATTTTTGCGTGGTCCAGAGGAAGTAATGTCAATGACATCCGAAGAGGAGCGCCTTTCGTCCTTCTCTCGAGATATTGAAGAGTGTAACGAATAGTATACAAATTAGAAAACTATCTTTGACACGTTTCATGATTTGACCAATTATTCACAACTCACAAACATTTTTCGGGCTAACTGTTCGCAGACATGTCAACTTAGCATATGTTGTATGACAACCCTTCTATGTGACAGTGAAAGAATCGCGTATGATAAAACTACAGTGTCGTGCCGTGATGTGTACCCCCACCCCCTTCTCCCCGAGTGAGAGAGAGCTCCCGTACCCACATACCCACACCCTAGCCAGTGGACATGCCACGGTGCCGGTGACAGTGTAGTGCCATACGTATAGTCCGGGATACACCATGTCGTCGTTCGTGTGGCCAGCCAACTACCACTGGGCGGCGGCACCCCCTCAGCCGCCGAGTGGGCTCAACTCGCCCGCCCTGGCCGCCCAGCCCTTGTACAACGCACCTACTAGACCGCCCCTGGAACACGGTCAGTACTTGAATATTTTGAGAAAAATACCCCTTAGTTCACACATAACCGTGATAAGACTATGGGCTGGGTTTAAATCAATAGTTAGTAAATAAGCGTGATTTTACTAACAACTTGAAGAGGTGTGCTGAATAATAGTACTACTATTTGTATTTTTTGTTTATCTTCTTTGATTGGGGATGGGATATTTTTTAATTTAATTTCTCTGACGTCAACACACCAGGATGCTTAGTTTAAGGCGACAGGTGAAAGACTTGTATTGACAAAAATCTGCTTGTTCTTTAATCAGAATCTATCAAAGACAGCTTGGTTCAGGTTTGAACCATCAGAGGACCAACTAAATTTTCTCAGAATCCAATCGGCGACTTCTGATTTCCGTTAAGCATTTTATCCACTAAATTATCTGAGCATAGTTGTAGTATTAATAGTCAAAGATATTATATATATAATGCAAGCTATCTTACCTTTACAATTACGACCTTATAAATACGACCAGTATTGAATTTGTCAAATCTTGGTCGTGGGAGCCGGTTGTGCCGTAATAATTTTTTTCTTAGTGTCGAAGTTGTTAAAAAGATGCACAAACACCCGCTAAATGCTGAAAAATAGTGATTTGTGTAACTAGTGGGCGAAGTGGCACTTTGCTGCACACGAGATAAATGTTTAAATGCGAGCCGTAGGCGAGTGTGGGAAGTTTCTCGAGTACAGCAAAGGCAGTTTGCACTCGCGTTAGAGATTATATTTTTTCCTAAAGTTACTATAAAGCATATAAATAATTAGTCTTTCAAACACTGTACAACTCGTTTTTAGGCTAGGTTAAAATCCAAACATTGAACGAAATGGGAAACGCTGTACCAGCTGACCGTAGTCGTATTATATTTAAGTGTTGCCATATTATTTTCAAGCGTACACGTATTAAGTGCCTAATAAGAGCACGTGGTTTTGTGTTGTTTGGTATACTGGTGTGCGTCAAAAAAAAGAAACTGTGCGGTAAAAGTAAATAGTGTACGGAAAAAGTAATTAGATGCAGCAATTAGCAACTTTCTGTGATATAATCAGTGCATGGAAGGCCACTTTGTCAGGTGACTGTAGTAAAAATAACATGTAAGTCTAAATAATGTTAAAAATTTATCTTATATTTTAAGCATTTGTAGTCAGATGAGTTCTTATGTTACAACCCTACTAAATAAAAATTACCTACTAAAATTACAATTTAGTAGTCATTAAAAAACAGATGTCAAGTATAGCAATAGTGCTACTATAGTAGTCGTTCATTTCCACTGGACGAAACTACTGTTCAGTAAGTACAGCGGGTAGTCAGTTGCAATGTTTGATGGCGCATTGAAAGCACAACGATAAAGATAATTGTAGAGTATAACCACAGGTATAGCTCTCGCCAAGCAAAACGAGCTATTGAAGAACTAGAGTTTATCTTTTTACGAGCTTATCTTGCATCCATAAGTAAACCTTAGATCAACACAATACATCATTGGTACGTAGCTTCATATTTTGACAGACATATGACTGAAATTGAATGTAGTGGGGCAATTAGAGTATTCTTTAGCTTTGTTAAGCCAACAGGCTTAAGACCATCAGTTGATTCCGTAGCCAATCTTACGATAGTTTCACAGACTAAATAATCAAAAGCTGTACATAAACTATATACTACATGCAGAGTGTTTACCCTGTACCTTTTTTTTTTAAATATGAACCCTGTCTCTGAGGGTCCACTGAGGCACTTGAATGATGACGATACATGTTTTTCTCTTATTTTAAATATTTTCCATTTTACTGTGTCCTGTTAGTTAAAGTGGTCTTTGGTACGGTAATAATAGGAGAACAAGCAATAGTTTACAAGAAAGTTCATTTTAAGTTGTATTGTCAAGTAAGTAAAATAATAAGAAATGAATAAACAACTTTGAATCCCCCTAAAGTATTCATATTCCAGACATAAACCTAACAGTAACAAATTAAGAATCTCATCAACTGATCTGGAGCAAAACAACGCAAAACACAAAACGCGACGGGCAAAAGTAAAGAGAAAGAGCCGATAAAACAATTCCCTGCCGACGATAAATTAGAAAATATCATATAATGATGGTAAAGTGCTTACAGTTTACTTCAGTCGGATTTACTCTCCACTTGACGTGCCTATGTATGTAACGTTTAAAATAGTCTTGAGTCGATTTTAAAATGTCTAACATTGCTCCCAAGGTTCGTACAACTCTCTCGACCCACAATATACGGTTTTAGAACTCTTGCAATCCTCTTGTAATTAAAGTAAAACGTGCATTTATTTTTTGCAATAAATAGTATACTAGTATACTAGAAGACCACTTACAGTTTCTTATCGTATATTGTTGCTATGGAAAAGTTAGTAATCCTGACATACAATCAATGTTTGGTCGGCCACTACAATGCAAATTCACATAACTGACTAAAACTCGTTATTGATTTCACTTTTCATATTAAGGTTAAGTTAAAAGTCTTTGATCGATAATAAACAGAATATTAGACTTAACAAGACTTGACTTGACTTGTATACTGTATATTTTTTGTAAAGGTGTCCTCCGCTGTTATTCACGCGCTGAAAAATGCAACGACTCGTACCTTTCAACTGGCCAAATCACTCACGTTTCCACACTTGGACTACTCATCTACTGCAATGCTGAGACTGAGTGTTATACTCTTCTACCACAAAATTACATGTTCGATCTTCTTTTACTTGGTTTCTTTAAGGTTTTTGACATGGTGATCACACCCTATTTAATATATTGAGCAATTCTGAAACAGGATAACATCAGAAAACAGATCATATCCTGAATAAAAAAGATTCTCAGGAAGAATATTAAATTTTTGTGGGAAAGATGCTGAAGGGATCCTTGCTCTGCTCTACCAAGCTACACATTTCTCATTACAGGCCGACTGTTAGTAATAAGTCATTTTTTTAACAGTGTGCTAGCCACGGAACTTCTTACCTAACCCTATTAGGTCCATAGAAACCCCGTTCCTTTCGTGTCGTGATGGCGTGGTTATGCCTACTGCCTGTTTGTAGAAGAGAGAGGATTTGTGTGTATCTATTCTCCGGTGGTGATTCTTAAAACAATGACATGATAAGGAGGTTTTGTATAAGAAGCATCTGATCTTAGTCAGTAACAAAGCTACACAGATTAGATTGCATCTTAGCGACGCCGACATACAGGATGCGTATGATAAGGTGAAAATGAAAATGTTGAGTGAATTAGATGACAGCTTTACTGACATGGATCAGCTGGTTCATTAACCAGGACCATTTTAAAATCCAAACGATCAGGGACTTGGGCCCAGCTACGGACCATCAAAACGCTTATTACTTTTCTCACAATCGAACCGTAAACTTTCTGATCATACAACAATTCAATCCCTCTCACTCTGCATCACGTACATTTTTAAATGCACACACCAAGTGCATCACTGATTTATAGCCATGAAAGTGCAAGGATACTTAAGTGAGAAAGCTGTAGTAATTCTATTAAATATTACATTAATTAATTAATTAACAGTGGAAAATCTGTGTGAGTGAGATGATGATCGCTCCTAACAACCCTCAATCGTAACTTTACATAAGTCAATCCTAGATCACGTTCAGATAATCTCATTATAGGACCCCCAGGACAGTATTATCATGTCCATTACATGATTGCGCAACAACACTTAGGTTTAGCCCCAAATTGGGGCACGCGTGTGCAATTCCGCACTTGATTGTAACATTATGTCATTTGCAATTGTCGCATCAGGCGGTGAAAGGTCTTTGCGGCGATTTTAGGCTGCTCTAAATGATCGTATCTGATTTGCTGATTCGTAATAGTGAGTTGATTTAATCGTGTGAGAAACCAACGGACATTTGAATACTAAGATGACTTGGCCTGTTTCGATTTGCTCCACTGAATTAACTAGAGGTAATCTTTTGTAACTTCGAAATCTTTCGAGCAGTATATCGATCTAAGGAATCATGCAACAAAATAATATAGCTTTGAAATCAATTTACACTCTATAATGCATAATTTAATTCATTCTACACACGCATTAGATACGCGCGTGTACATAGTACGCATTCTACACAAGATGTCAAGTAACAGTTTGTGAAGGATATCGTTTCTTGATCAGCATTGTATGTGTTATTAAATTTACAGAAAGTAAATATAAAATACGTCTAATAACACTTGACTTATTCATTTTGATGGTAATTCACGTACTGGGTCTGATGATGATTGGAGTGTCCAATAGAAATCGATCACCACTTACCATCTTTTATGCTTATTCTCTGTATTGTGAGTTAACAGTATAAGTGTAAATGCATGTTTTATGTGTTATTAGACGTATTATTTATTTACTTATTTACTCTAATACTTTAATTTACTTTATTCCTGAAGGTTTTAGGTTAAAACACGTCACAATTAAAACAAACGTCCTAAACATATACGATTGCATTAGAGTTTTTTCGCAATAGTTTTACAAGCTACACTGAAAATGGACACAGTAGGTTGCATGTTGATTCAAAACAATCAAATAAACCTTATTCAATTATTTTAATAATTGAATAAGGTTTATAATACTTTATACTTAATACTTATAATAGGTTAATAATATTTTAATAATTAGTTTAACTCTTTTGAAGTTTTGCAGGTGTATGCACAGGGCCTACTATATTTTATAGAAGCCACAGGGATTTATCTACAGAAATATTCATGAGATAAAATACAACCAGTAACATGATCCATGACTAATTACTGGCTCAAGTTTCCAAACATTTCTGTTTACAATGACAGTTTTAAAGAACACAGTAGGTGTTAGTGTTTCTGTTTTAATGGTTCTTGGTCGCCTAACAATCAAAAGGTCACCTGTTCAATTCAATCCTGAGAAAGGTTTATAGTAGCTTTTTGATTTTTCGAAACTGGACAAGCCGTTCCTGATCATTGGGCTTTAAATAATGATCCTTGGTAACGAAACAGCTGATCTTA